GACTTGGACCATTAACCAGTCACACAAGTCCTGTGTGAGACTTGACTCACCTGCGATTCATCCCGGGTTGTTTCCGATGTGAGCCGGGTTATTTACCACTAAGTTTCTTGGTAACACAGGCGTTGAGGTGTCAATGGTGACTGACAAAAAAATGTCAGTCATGGAGGGTGCAAGAGGGAGGTGTCAGTCATGGAGGATGCAAGTGGGAGGTGTCAGTCATGGAGGATGTAAGAGGGAGGTGTCAGTCATGGAGGGTGTAAGTGGGAGGTGTCAGACATGGAGGGTGTAAGTGGGAGGTGTCAGACATGGAGGGTGTAAGTGGGAGGTGTCAGACATGAAGGGTGTAAGAGGGAGGTGTCAGTCATGGAGGACGTGAGATGGAAGACTCTTCATCTTCCTCCTCTTCCCTTTATTCTACTTCCTCCTTCCCTTTTAACCCTCTCGCTTTCCTTCTTTCTTCCGAACCCTTTTCTCATCAACAGGATTCCTCCACCCCATCCTTATTTATTTATTTATTCATTTATTTATTTAGTAATTTTAGCATACATACAGAGGTACAAAAAAATACAGGTAAGAGCAGCATGCCAAAGCCACTTATATGCATAGCATTATGGGCTGGCTTAAAATTAACTTAAGATTAACTAAGCAATGATGAAATCAGTGATAAAACATTATTGTAAACAGATAACTATAAAGCACAAATGAGTATTACAAAGACAGGTCATATGGTTGCATGTATTGCTGTACGTTCAGTAGAATGGAGTATTCTGTTAGGTAGTGTATTTAAAAAATAACAGTTAGATTGGGTCTTAGGTTTAACATTTGTGTGATATAATTGTGAGTAACATATAGGATATACAATTTATAAGGTTCAGTTATTCAGTATTTATTTGGTTTTGAGTGAGTAAGTGATCTTTGAGAAGAGACTTGAATTTATAAACAGGTAGTGTTTCTTTTATATTTACAGGTAATGAATTCCAGATTTTAGGGCCTTTTATGTGCATTGAGTTTTTGCATAGCGTGAGATGGACACGAGGAACATCAAAGAGTGATCTGTGCCTTGTATTATGGTCATGTGTTCTGTTGAGGTTGGCAAGGAGATGTTTGAGGGGAGGGTTAATATCAGAGTTAAGTGTTCTATGTATGTAATAGGTGCAGTAATAAGTATGGATGTTTTGTATGGTGAGTAGGTTTAGTGTATTGAATATTGGTGGAGTGTGCTGCCTGTAGTGAGAATTTGTTATCATTCTAACTGCAGCCTTTTGTTGGGTAATTAGTGGTTTGAGATGGTTAATTGTTGTTGAGCCCCAAGCACAAATTCCATAGGTGAGATAGGTATCCCTAATCCCTCTCCTCTTCCACTCCTACTCTCTAATCCCTGTCCTCTTCCACTCCTACTCTCTAATCCCTGTCCTCTTCCACTCCTACTCTCTAATCCCTGTCCTCTTCCACTCCTACTCTCTAATCTCTGTCCTCTTCCACTCCTACTCTCTAATCCCTGTCCTCTTCCACTCCTACTCTCTAATCCCTGTCCTCTTCCACTCCTACTCTCTAATCCCTGTCCTCTTCCACTCCTACTCTCTAATCCCTGTCCTCTTCCACTCCTACTCTCTAATCCCTGTCCTCTTCCACTCCTACTCTCTAATCCCTCTTCCCCTTCCATTCCTACCCCTAATTCCTCTCCCCCTCTCATTTCTACTCCTAATCCTCCTTCCTCTCCCATTCCTACCCTATAATTCCTCGCATTCCTTCCCCTTCCATTCCTACCCATAATTCCTCTCCCCTCCCAGGTTCTTAAGCCTTCGAGGTTCTCCCATCCCTCCAGGTTTTTCCCACCTCCTAGCCTCGCCTCACCTCCAAGCCTCGCCTCACGGCCTTGTCTCACAGCCTCGCCTCACAGCCCCACCTCACAGCCTCACCTCACAGCCTCACCTCACAGCTTCACCTCACAGCCTCGCCTCACAGCCTCACCTCACAGCCTCACCTCCCAGCCTCGCCTCACAGCCTCACCTCACAGCCTCGCCTCACAGCCTCACCTCACAGCCTCACCTCCCAGCCTCGCCTCACAGCCTCGCCTCCCAGCCTCGCCTCACAGCCTCACCTCACAGCCTCACCTCACAGCCTCACCTCATAGCCTCGCCTCACAGCCTCACCTCATAGCCTCGCCTCACAGCCTCACCTCACAGCCTCGCCTCACAGCCTCGCCTCACAGCCTCGCCTCACAGCCTCACCTCCCAGCCTCACCTCCCAGCCTCACCTCACAGCCTCGCCTCCCAGCCTCACCTCCACTCAAGTTTGTTTGGCTAACTAATAAAGCTCTTGTTTTATTCCGCCATTTGCATATTATTAAAATTTTATCACAACTTCGGAGGACAAGACAACTCTTTTGTTGTCCTGAAAGATTCTCTTTTTTTTTTCCTGCTTTTGTTTTTCTTTTGCCTCTCATGTCAGCGCTGCGTCACCCCCTCGGGTTTAGAGCTTAGTTCTACTAAGTCATTATTTCTCTCTTATGGTGCTCTGAACACCTGGGGTAATATTCTCCATCTGGGGTAATATTCCCCTTCGCAGGGGGTAATGTTTCCCTCCGCCGGGGGTAATATTTCTCTCTGCTGAGGGTAATATTTCCTTCCGCCGGGGGTAATATTTCCTTCCGCCGGGGGTAATATTTCCTTCCGCCGGGGGTAATATTTCCTTCCGCCGGGGGTAATATTTCCTTCCAAGGGTAACATTCTCCTCCACTTGGGGTAATATTTCCCTCCGGTGGGGGTAATACTTCTCTGCTGGGGTAATATTTCCCTGGCAAGGGGTAATATTTTCCTCCGCCAAGGGTAATATTTCTCTCCGCCGGGGGTAATATTTCTTTCTGCCAGGGGTGATATTTATCTCCGCCAGGGGTAATATTTCTCTCCTCCGGGGGTAATATTTTCCTGGCCAGGGGTAATATTTCCTTCCAGAAGTGATACAAGAATATAACCATGGTAGTAGAGCGCTTTTGATCCAAGGAATCAGATCAAATCTGATCACCTCACCTCTCTCAGGCACTGTATGGCCCTTACTGGTTTAGCACTTCCCCACAAATACAAGTTCAGTCTCTGGTATTTCCTTTTGCACTCTCATTCCTCCTCTTCCATTCATTGTCATGGTGAGAAACACTTCAAGAAGGTTGACCTCATGCTCTTCATCCAGGGAACTGAAGCTGCTCTTCCCTTCTTCCGAACTCAATTGGTTCACCTTCCTCAAGCACTTTTAATGAATGACCCTCTGTGAAAATTAAAGTATGGTGGGGGTAATAGGTGCCTGGGCTGCATTATACTTTGAGGGAAGCACTAAACCCACAAGGATCACAGTGCCTAAGGAAATGAGGCGACAGTTATGTTCAATCGAAGAATTAGAGGACCTGTCGTTCCTTGGGGATCCAAGAGCATTATTATTATTATGTTTACAAGAGAGGGGTGTGGCATGTATGGAATGTTACATTTATTCAGTGTTTATCTGACAACCATTTCTTGCACTTCTGCTATAATTAGCCAAGACAGTGTTGTGTGGCTTGGCTGGCAACGCACTCACCTTATACAGTGTGTCCATGGTTCAATCTGCGACACAGGTAGAATTGATGGGTGTGTTTCCTTACACCTGCTATCCCTGTTCACCTAGCAGTAAATAGGTACCTGGGTGTTAGTTGCATGGTGTGGGTCACATCCTGGGGGACAAGATTGAAGGACTCCAATGGAAATAAGACGGACAATCGTTGATGATGCACTGCCTTTCTTGGGTTATCCTGGGTGGCTAACCCTCTGGTTAAAAATCCGAACAAATCTAATCAAGCTGGCAGTTATGGCCCTGCAGTTGTCAGAGCCCCAACTGTACAGTGAATGGATGCCAGTTTAAACAAGAGTTGGGGTTGACCTCAAAATGACTTAGACATACCCTCTTGCCTGGAAGACAGTCTCTTATTAGCTCCAATTACACATACCGGTCTTTCTTGTACAAGTCTAAAGAACCAACTGCAGTGAGCATACTCAGCTCTTTGAACTCTATCTCTCATTATATTTATTACAAGTAATATATCTGCCTACATTGCTGCCCTGTTATGCACACTAAATATTTAAAGTATTGGTGGTGGGAATACATGGGTACACTACTTACTAAAAAAAAAAAAAAAAAAAAAAAAAAAAAAAAAATGCTGTTTATATTTGTCTTTGCCTTTATTATTCTATGATTGTTCCATCAATGGAACTCTATCTCATGTCTAGGTATCACAGGCCTTCTATTTGTATCCGTGTTTATAATAAAGGGTAAACCTGCAGGGATCACAGAGCACCTGGATGAAAGGAAATCTGGTTCAGTCCAAGGATGGAAGGAAATTAGGTTCAATCCCATGATGGTAATATCAGGTCATTCCTTGAATGAAGAGCCCCTCATCAGCATCGAGAAACCTGTCATGAAGAGGATCCGAGAGCAGCATTTTCATGTTCGTCTTCTATGCCGTAATGCTGCTCGAGTCTAGATACGAGACACACTGTATGAATCTCACCATAGTACATAATGGAATGACCTCTATAGTAGTATGTTACACCAATTTGCCATTTGTTATTATTATTTTTTCGTACTACTTTTATTATAGTATTCATTAGGAAATGCTAAGCCCCTAAGGGTTATATAAAGCCTGGGGAATAAGAAGCAATTAGGCTTGATCCAAGGAAAAGGTTACCTTTAATTCCTTGGATTATGAGACCAGCAGCACGAGACTTTCCTTGAAGGGTTAAGGGGTTTGTAATTTAGAGATCTGATAATAGGATGGCTCATGCTGATGTAGCAGTACATTATCTAGCCAGGCTAACTTAGAAAATGTCATATCCTGGGGGGCAAAGGAAATGTGTGTGCCAACAGAGGGTCAGGAAAGACTGATCTTGTTGAACTGACACAGATAAATAACTATTCTCTTGGTGATGAGTTAGTGACTGGGCATATGAAATACCTTTACCCTCTTTTACAGATAGTGTTTGAAGGACACCGGCAGAAATACAAATGCACAATTGAGAGTGAGGTGGGGAGCACTAGCAGGAGTTATGTATATCTGCAGACCTGAAAATAAACACATACAAACTAAAGGTAACTATACACTACATTTTGCTCACCTGAGATTTATGTATGCCAAGTTTCATCTTTTCTTTTCAAGAATTTATAAATGTAAGCAGTTAACAATAAGGATATTGAGAATTTTTTTTTTTTTTTTTTTTCCAACAAGTCGGCCGTCTCCCACCGAGGCAGGGTGACCCAAAAAAGAAAGAAAATCCCCAAAAAGAAAATACTTTCATCATCATTCAACACTTTCACCACACTCGCACATTATCACTGTTTTTGCAGAGGTGCTCAGAATACAACAGTCTAGAAGCATACATATATAAAGATACACAACATATCCCTCCAAACTGCCAATATCCCAAACCCCTTGAGAAATATATATATAATATATATAATATATATATATATATATATATATATATATATATATATATATATATATTATATATATATATATATATATATATATATATATATATATATAAGAAAACAACATATATTCCTGAATAACAATAAATTTTAACAAAATATGGAACATATTAGTAACTAAAAATTTACAGTGATAGACTACTCCAAATATAACCACATGTAAGTAATAATCCATTTCATTTAATACTGCAGCAAGTTGTCAACAAAGATTTTTTAAAAAATGTAGTTTTGAAATTTGCTGGCATAAATATGAAGAATGCAACTTCAAATAAAAAAAAAAATAATTTTGACCTAATAAAACCAAATCTTTAGTTGCCTTTTGACTGTGCAAAAGCAGAGCTAAAACTTTGTATAAATAATGTTGCCTAAAGAAAATGGAAGACATACCTAATGCATATGCCTTTATTATTAATTATACCAAAAATAAACAACTTGTGATAATATTGTTTAAATTAATATTTTTTCAAAGTATTTACAGAGGCATTAAGTACGTACTTAATTAGAAAATAAAATACATTCATATACACTATCAGTAAGCATTATTTATGTAGGTACAGTATTGCATTTTTTTTTTTTTTTTTCAACAAGTCGGCCGTCTCCCACCGAGGCAGGGTGACCCAAAAAAGAAAGAAAATCCCCAAAAAGAAAATACTTTCATCATCATTCAACACTTTCACCACACTCACACATTATCACTGTTTTTGCAGAGGTGCTCAGAATACAACAGTTTAGAAGCATATACATATGTATGTATAAAGATACACAACATATCCCTCCAAACTGCCAAATTTGCAAAATTTATTTTGTATAAATGAAACGCTAAAACTACCTGACCATAACCCTTCCAGGAAGTCACATTGATGCTGGTAAAGGTATTAAGAACACTTCCCTTGACTAAAACCTGATTACTTACCACTTCCTAGGGTCTGTATGTCCCCCTATAGGTTTAACACTTTCTCAACTTAAAATCTGATATAGGTACATTGCTTACCATTTTTTCATCAAGACTTCAATTTTGCTTTTCTAAAAGACTACTCTTTCCATTAAGATAACATCTAAAGAGAAAAAAAAACATGATTTAGTATGGGCTTCAAATGCTTACCAAGACAGTATTCTAGAGCCTAGGTCAGGGAATGGGTAAATGACCCCAAATGGGTAAAAATGAAAATCTTATGACAATGAAGGCTTAATAAACATAAATAAAACTGCACAATTTTTTTTTATTTAATAAGCTTTATCATGTATAATACATACTTTTCAGCTTTTATGACTGTATTCTCCATAAAAATGGATTCAATAAGCTATTTTGAATTTGAATGCTCTTTGTGTTTTCTGTATTCTGTGGACTTTCAAGTCAAGTCAGTAATTTAAGTGTACACAAACTTGTTTTGGGGTAATCCCCCAAAAAGTTTTGCCAACCTCTGTTCTAGAGGGACACACAGACATGGAGTAATACAGCACGATCATGTTACACCTACTTAAGTTTCAATTACACCTACCATCCGACTTACGACCTGCTCGACTTACGAACGTGTTTTTTATGCCAAATTTCTGGGAAATAAATAACTACAGTGGACCCCCGCATACCGTTGGCCTTACATAATGTTAAATCCACATACCGATACATTTTATCGCTAAGATTTTGCCTCGCATACCACTAAAAAACCCGCTCAACGCTGTTCGTCCGAGACGCGTCTAATGTGCGGCCTGAGCCAGCCTCACATGTTCCGCTGGTGGCATTGTTTACCAGCCAGCCTCTGCGGTAACATCCAAGCATACAATCAGAACATTTCGTATTATTACATGTACAGTGTTTTTGGTGATTTTATCTACAAAATAAGTGACCATGGGCCCCAAGAAAGCTTCTAGTGCCAACCCTACAGCAATAAGGGTGAGAATTACTATAGAGATGAAGAAAGAGATCATTGATAAGTATGAAAGTGGAGTGCGTGTCTCTGAGCTGGCCAGGTTGTACAATAAACCCCAATCAACCATCGCTACTATTGTGGGCAACAAAACGGCAATCAAGGAAGCTGTTCTTGCCAAAGGTTCAACTGTGTTTTCGAAACAGAGATCGCAAGTGATGGAAGATGTTGAGAGACTCTTATTGGTATGGATAAATGAAAAACAGATAGCAGGAGATAGCATCTCTCAAGTGATCATAAGTGAAAAGGCTAGGAAGTTGCATGAGGATTTAATTAAAAAAATGCCTGCAACTAGTGATGTGAGTGAATTTAAGGCCAGCAAAGGTTGGTTTGAGAGATTTAAGAAGCGTAGTGGCATACATAGTGTGATAAGGCATGGTGAGGCTGCCAGTTCGGACCACAAAGCAGCTGAAAAATATGTGCAGGAATTCAAGGAGTACATAGACAGTGAAGGACTGAAACCTGAACAAGTGTTTAATTGTGATGAAACAGGCCTGTTTTGGAAGAAAATGCCAAGCAGGACCTACATTACTCAGGAGGAAAAGGCACTCCCAGGACATAGCCTATGAAAGACAGGCTTCCTCTGTTGATGTGTTCCAATGCTAGTGGTGATTGCAAAGTGAAGCCTTTATTAGTGTATCACTCAGAAACTCCCAGAGCGTTCAGGCAAAAGAATATCCTCAAGGCTAATTTGTGTGTGCTGTGGAGGGCAAACAGTAAGGCATGGGTCACTAGGGACTTTTTCTATGACTGGTTACACCATGCATTTGCCCCCAATGTGAAAGATTACCTAACTGAAAAGAAATTAGACCTGAAGTGCCTCCTGGTGTTAGACAATGCCCCTGGTCATCCTACAGACGTGGCAGAGCGACTTTATGGGGACATGAGCTTCATTAAGGTGAAGTTTTTGCCTCCTAATACCACTCCTCTCCTGCAGCCATGGACCAGCAGGTTATTGCAAACTTCAAAAAACTGTACACAAAAGCTCTGTTTGAAAGGTGCTTTGTAGTGACCTCAGAAACTCAATTGACTCTAAGAGAGTTTTGGAGAGAGCACTTTAATATCCTCAATTGTGTAAACCTTATAGGTAAGGCTTGGGAGGGAGTGACTAAGAGGACCTTGAACTCTGCTTGGAAGAAACTGTGGCCAGAATGTGTAGACCAAAGGGATTTTGAAGGGTTTCAGGCTAACCCTGAGAGGAGTATGCCAGTTGAGGAATCCATTGTGGCATTGGGAAAGTCCTTGGGGTTGGAGGTTAGTGGGGATGATGTGGAAGAGTTGGTGGAGGAGGACAATGAAGAACTAACCACTGATGAGCTGCTAGATCAACTTCAACAGCAAGAGGCCAGACCTGAGGAAACTGGTTCGGAGGAGGGGAGAGAGAAATTGAAGAAGTTGCCTACTACAAAGATTAAGGAAATCTGTGCAATGTGGCTGAAAGTGCAAACCTTTATGGATGAAAATCACCCTCACACAGCTATTGCAAGCCGTGCTGGTAACTATTACACTGACAATGTTGTGAAACACTTTAGGGAAGTCATAAAGGAACGAGAGGTACAGGCCACTATGGACAGATATGTTGTGCGACAGAAGTCCAGTGACTCTGAAGCTGGTCCTAGTGGCATTAAAAGAAGAAGGGAAGTAACCCCAGAAAAGGACTTGACACCTCAAGTCTTAATGGAAGGGGATTCCCCTTCTAAACACTAAGACTCTCTCCTCCTCCCATTCCATCAATCATCACCAGATCTTCAATAAAGGTAAGTGTCATGTAATTGTGCATGCCTTTTTCAGTTTGTGTGAATTAAAATTAATATTTCATGTGGTAAAAATTTTTTTTTTCATACTTTGGGGTGTCTTGCACGGATTAATTTGATTTCCATTATTTCTTATGGGGAAAATTCATTCGCATAACGATAATTTCGCATAACAATGAGCTCTCAGGAATGGATTAATATCATTATGCGGGGGTCCACTGTATTTGTGTTGTACACAGTGTTTATCCTAAACCTTACAGTATAAAATACAGTACTAACAACATAAAAAGTAAAGTAAAACATGAAATACCAAAATAAAACAAAAGTCATTACAAAAATGTTTTGTTGATATTCAGTAGTAAAGTTCGACTTACGACCATTTCGACTTACGACCAGTTTCTCGGAACCGAACTCGGTCGTAAGTCGGATGGTAGGTGTATCAATTTGATATTAAAACTTTGTACTATTTTATGTATGCATCAGTTTGCCAAAACAACAGCAAAAATTATTTATTTTTCAGTATAAACATAATCCAGGATATTCACATTTCAACCGTCACAATGTCATGACAGGCAATGTTAGAAATCTCAGAAACGGGCTTCCTTTAAGTCAAAAGTTCCAAAATTTTTAGTTCAAAATAATTGCATTATTTTTTTTTTTGAAGACTTAATAAAGACAAATGGAATGTCATGGTAATCAGTTACACTGGACAACAACAGATCTGCTACTGAGGTAAAAGTGTGTGCATTCTGCTGAGTAGTGTGTGCCAATTTTGAACCTTTACTCAGAATATAGTAAGCCAAACACCTAAGGTTTTCTTTAACTAAAGAAAAAACTGGAAATCAATTTGTCATTTATTTAGAGTACTGCTAGTGAACTAGCAGTAACTGAACAGCATGCACATAACAACTATTTGATA